ATGAGGTGGAAACAGTGACTAAACATCTTGCACTAGTGTCATAAACAATCTAGGATGGTCTTTGCTCTAGCATGGGGAGGGGGCGACTGCAGCATTTTCTTTCTGCTGTCTGCATTCTTTTCAGCTAGCTAGTTTCCTGTTTTGCTTTCTGGAGACTTGAACTGGACACACAGCTGTAGACTAATATCTCATCAGAGTATTGCCTCTCAGTGCTTTAGAAAAAATAGAAGAAAAAAGAAAAGAGCTACAGATGCAGAGCGATACCGTGCCAGACTTGGACAGAGTCTGTTGGGAAGTGTGAGAGAATAACTGGTTAGCTTGGTCAAGAAAAGAGAGACTTCACAGTTTATGACACTGAGGGGAACCAGGCTAAATGAAGTATTAAGTATTATAGTGTTTTAATCTGTTGTGATCACCTTGGTGCAGTAAATTCAACACATATACCACAACCGTGTCAATTTATCAGTCAGCTGTAAAACATACACAGGTCTAGGATGTAATCTTGTAGAGAAAGGCACAGTTTCCCACACCTCGGAAGAACCTATAAGGACCTCCACTGAACGTTTATAGTTTAGAGCGAGGTATGTTTGCAAACTGAACCACAATGTTTGTTTTACCAAGAACAACTACCTCTAACTACCAATACAATTTTTTTAAAAAAAGGTAGTAGAGTGATTACAGCATCACCATCATGGATTACTTCTCTGCACATTAGTGGTGGGTTGGGGAGGTCAGATCCTAACCTGTTGTTGGTCTTGTTCTTCTCCATCTGCTCATTTTGGTGTACGTGCCAGTCTTCAAGCTCCTTCTTCGCTTTCACTCTCCATTCTTCCTCCGCTGCCTTGGATGCCGAGTCTTATTAGGACGCAAGCAAGCAGAAACGTCACACAGTTGTATTACATTTAATTTCTTCTGTTTCTATGTGTGACACAAATCTTTTCTGATTAGTTTAAACTTTATCACCAGTGTGTTGAAAGCCAGTTTAGCCTCTAACAGAAGGGCAAAAAGCAGTACAGTCAGTGAAGCGTTAGTAAATAGGTGTGAAATGAACCTGGGACCTTGTAAGGAAAATAAGAAGAATCATAAGAGCTACACAGCACTAAGTGCATTACACACAATCACTGATAGCGTCTGGGAAACATTGTTACCAACCTAATGCTTCAAGGCGTGTCTTCTGCTCCTCCCTCCATTTGCGTAAACTTTCAGGTTCTTGCCTTTGAATATCCACCTGGGCGATGGCTGCGTAGCTGTCTGTTGGGCCATTGGACTCCTGTTGGAGTACGCAAAACATGTACACCATTAGAAGCAGCTATTCGGTTCATTCATGCGTGAACGCCACAGCAAACCCACTCCTTCATCACATGATTACGGTGTTCAGAATAAAACTCAACCACACTTAGGTTATGTAAAGAGGCAGACAAGACTGAAGCTCACCTGAAACAGGTCTCCATTCAACGTGGCAGGCTCTTCAAACCCGTCTAGCATTTTTTTTTAAAAAACAAAACAAAAAATACACAGATATAAGTTAAGATGAACTTCTTGGAGTTTATCCGCTTATACTTCCTTGCTATCTGGAGCGACTTATGCTCGCTGCTACTACTACCGTGGTGTAACTTTTGGTCTCGAAACGGATAAGACTTCAGAAATGCAGCAACACCTGTTTGGTTACCTGCTTAATATTGTCTGGGCTGCTTTGTTGGTTAGAAGGCCAGTAGCAGTTGTTCGCTTGCTTAGTTTTAAGGTGCTAGTGTCACATAGCTGATGTTATGTGGGATAGCGTTAAACAAAACTTACGTGTCGCAGCTAGCTAAGCTACAAGGCTAACGTAATGTTAGTTTGAATCTAATTGGAAGCAATAAGAGTGTTACCCACTTATATCAGACAGCGGTGTTGTTAACATATGGCGGTGGGGCCTTTGTTGGCTAACTACTAAGCAAGTTGCCGATGCAAGTCCCGGTATTAATATTAGCTAGCTCTAGTTAGCTTTGTTTGCTCGTTAGCTAAACGTTAGCTGACGTTAGCTCAGGGAGAAACTTGCCATAGTTGTCGGTCTGCGGCTGCTGAACACCGGCTCCTTCTAGGATCCCAAATGCGTCGCCATCGTTTTCTATCCCCGCTATCTCATTCTCCTGTTGAGCCAGGAAAGCGGCGGCCGGGTCCTCTTCAGTCGGGTGCGCTCCGTTGTCAGCCATCTTTCACAAAAAGTGTAGAAGTTTGACTGAGCTTGCTTAGCTAGCTAAACGTTAAAGCCACAAAAAATCAGGCCACCTAGCTCTGCAACGTTAATAGTAACAACTTAAAAATTCGATTAGAGTGATATCTATTCTAAATATTGCTTGGAACAATAGAGTCAGCTAGTAAAGCATACGGAATAAACAATCTACGCGTCGATTAAAGGCCGTAACTGATGATTCATTATTTCTTCACTTGTTCAACCAGTATGTGTATGATGATAGAGCAGGGGCAGCACCCCGAGGGGACCTTTACATTTTGTTGGAGTTTGTCGCCATCTGCTGGCCATCTGCAGCACAGCACTGTCATCTCCAAGGGTTGTAGTGCTAATGCAGTGACAGTAATAAAAAATATCTACAAACCTTATATAGCACAATTTCTAAACAGAAATGGAAAAATGGTTCGTAAAAGCATAAAGGTTATGCATTCACACACACACCCCCCTTGCAGGAAAATAAATATCCTCAGCAAAATCTACATGAGTGGGTCATTAAAAGGGAGACGCAGCAGACATCCTCACCACTTACCTGGAACACCTTCAAATCCTCCCTGCCACCTGCTCCTGGATCAAAGATTTCCTCACTAACCGCCCCCAATCAGTCCAACTTTGCCCTCACCTCTCCCCCCACTCGCTGTCACTCTGCACCAGCTCCCCCTATTGTATGCCCTCTACACTGACATCAACCCACCCAACCAACATAGTCGTCAAATATTGCTGATGACATACAAGACATTAGCCCTTGGCTATAATCTGGTATGTTTACATTCATGTAATTTTATTTTTTACATTTATGTTCATTAACATGCACTGTCCTAAATAAATAAATAAATAAATAAATAAAATACTGGGTTCATCTCTGATGGAGGCGTACAGGGCAGAGGTAGAGAAACTTGTCACACTGGTGCTCAGAAAATAACCTAAAGCTGAAGGTCCTTAAAACAAAAGAGCTCACCTTGTCCTCTGCTGGCCTTCTACTGCTCCTCAGTGGAGCATGCTCTCCTACTGCCTGGGTGTTGGGTACGCAGGGGCCACAGCTGAGAGCAGGAAGGCTGTGCAAATGTAATTACATCGCCCAGAAAACCATTGACTGTCCTCTGCCAACCCTGGAGGCCAGGTCAAGATCTCCGGTCAGTCAGGTCCTACACCTCCAGACTCACAAACAGCTTCTTCCCCTGGGCCATTCGGACTGTTAACAAACACTCAACAAACACCCACACCCCACCCCTGCCCACTCACCTCACCATGGTTTGAGTATCCTCATCACTCAGGTGACTCACACACAGTCTATTCAGACCATATATTTTCTTTACACTGCTTCCAAGCACTTTGCAACTTGTTCTCTAAAATGTGCCTTTCTCTTATTTTTGTATATACCCCTCTTGACTCCTGTTTATATATATTTCTCCTGTTTGCTATTTACTCCTGCTATGGATCTTATTAACAGCCTATGACCTAAATGACATAAATCTATCCATATGACATAAATCTGGCTAGAACTTTGTCTGTCACATAAATGTTAATAATAAATATTACCCTCCTCAATTGATCAAGCTTAACGTAACGCCTGTTACTCCTTAACGTAACGCCTGTTACGTTAAGCAAAAGAAAACAACTCCATTTGCAGGTGCTGATAGCGCCAAGGGCACGAAACAGCATACCCATTGTAGTGGAAGTTCCGTTAGGTTTCACAGCGAGCGGCGTGTATGGTCGTTTTGTGACTTCCTCCCCTTTCTTTGGAATGTACAAAGGTACAAAAGAGCGAGAGCTCCACTTCTGTTTCAGGGACTGCGATTGATGACATGCGCATGATAATAAAGAGTGTTGATTGCAGCTGACCGTATCTGCGGACTTTCTTAACTTTTTTGTTTTGTTTTTTGGTGATACGTTTATCCACTTATCCATTTTCCTACCAAGGAGCTTCCCTCAAAAATGTTTCACAAAAGCATTTTCAAAGAAAATATAAAGCCAAACATAGTAGCACTTGCAGTAGAAGCAAATACAATATTTCTGTCTTTACGCACATTTGTACGGGGGCCTGGAGATGCAAAATACAAAATAAAACAAAAAACAACAGGCAGTATAGACAGTTAAAAATCCTTATCACTCTTAAATGCAACAAATATTTTATTGTTTATAGGGTGTACCTTGCTTTCTTACGAATGCATATTTCCTCATGCCTCTATGCTCAGGCCTAATTCTTGATTTCAGGGTTTGAGGACTTTCTTAACTAAATGTGCACGACAACACACAATGTCAGTCTAACTTTAACTGTTTTTTGAACTAACTTCACTTTTCTTTATTATTTTACAGGCTCTTGCGCTATTTCATAGTATAAGTCTCTTACCATGCAGGCACCTGTGAAACTTTCATTTTAACTGTGTTGGTTATTGTAGACGGTACTAGTTTTACTTGCTGGTAAAGTATATATCTGTTTCTCTCTCCATCTAGGATACGTCATGTCAAATTAAGTTACCTATTACTATTAAATAATAATGGCTTAGCTAGTAAGTGCAGTAAACAGCGTGTGTAAAAAGTTATTCTTCAGGGGCGGTGTCCTGGATTAGTTCATGTTTATCCCTGAGGCATAGTCTTATTTATTTATTTATGTTCCTTTAGTTAAAACCGACGGAGTGATTGAAAAAAGAGGTTTCAGGGCGGCTATGATGAATGGCTTTAGTAGTAGCAGCTGATGAGTGCAACTCGGCCTCTGAGTGAAATGAAGCCTCCGCCCATGTGACTTCTGACGTCTCAGCAGAGTCCTGCTAAAAAGAATTTGAGGGAATGAGTTTGCTGCTCACCAGGGGGATCCACGGCGGCTTCCTGACGTTTGCTGCAAGGAAGTCTGAAAAGTTGCCTGCTTGCCAACTCACTTATTACCATATTTTTAAATTATTTTTAATCCGGTACACTCGTGATGTCCGGCGAGCACAGAGAGACACAAGAGGTAAGCTAATGCATCTTTGTGTGTTTGTGTAACTTCTTCAAACCAACTTTTTCCCCCCACAGAGGAGGTTTGTATGGGTTAAGCTGGTGCTCCAAACTGTGCAGGCTCATGCTTCTGGCCATCTTCCCCGAGCCCCTGCTGCTCTGTAGCTGTGCTAACTACTTTGATAGAGCCGAGAGTTTTGTCCGGTTTTCGTGTCCCGTGTTGTCGCGAGCGGAAACCTGGCTGTCTGCGGCGGCGTTAACCGGGGTACAGCGTTCACAGCGTGGCCTTTAATTACCGCTGGGAAATTAGTGTGCTAGACGCATTGAAGAAACCCGTGTAAACTCGTAATTGCGTAGCGTGTTTACTAAAAATTCCGTGTATTTGAGCTCTCATTAAACGCAACACGAGTTCCTATAGAACTAATGCAGCAGCAGCAATAATATAGAAGATTATAAATAGCAACACCATCAGCATGGGGATGAGTGCCACACATTTATTGGCTTAAAACTGCTGCTTCTATTCTCTTGTTTATCATACAGGGTGGTGTTTAATTAAGTGGAGTGCAGTCACATTAATGCTGTTACTTCCTCCGCTTTAATACAGTCTGAGCAATCAGCTTTCAGTGTGGTGTTTGTCACCAGTGAAATCTAGCCTCCATTACCTGCTGCTCCTGCTGCAGGTCTTTCTGTGTCGCCTTATGCCCCTCTGTATCGTAATTCCCTTTCCCTGGCTCTGAGAAAAACTAATTTAAGCTGTGCCAATAAAGAGTCAGGTTTGTACAGATCTAGCGGCTGCATTGGCAGTAAATGAATGCGAATGCAAGTCTTTTTTTATTTTAAGGATTTCCATTAACTTGAGCAGATTTGCAGGTTTTCTTAGTGGGATTATTTGGGGTGCTAGGCTGGATTAAAGGCTGTGTGTGTAAAGGCTAGATTTTCCTTATCTGTGAGCACACCACTGTCTCACCAGCCTTTACAGCGTGTGTTAGCTGCTCTGTTGCTTTAAGAGCTTGATGTTAAAGTATAATTGCTGAGGGTTTTTTTTTCTTGCTTGTACTATGTTTCATGCCCTACAGAAAGAATGTAGAGGGTTGTGTGCTTTGCTTCATTTGTGGCCGTCTGCCGTTTCCCAAGTGCAATGAACTTAGAGGAAGAGAAAAAAAATCTCCTGGCCCGTGCCAGAATCCATGGGTCGTTGACGTTACCTCTCTCCATCCTCCTCTGCCCCCCCCTCCTCCTCCTCCTTCTCTCCCTGTGACTCATGTGGGTGTTGGGCTGAAATAGTTTGGTGTAGTTTTACATTCCTTATATAGCCTCTGAGGAGTGAGCAGAGGCTACGGCTTGCCTGTGTCACAGTCAGGATCGAGGGGGTAGGGTTTGCCAACAGAGAGGGAATCTGCTTGTTCCAGCTTACTGACTCTTTAGCTTTCTCCCAGGTTTTGGCTACCAGCTGACCTTTGAGGACAAGGTAGGTGGCATAGCTGTGTGTCACGGAGACCTGTGACACCTGGTAGGTTTGCGGAAGAGGAGGTTGAGGAGGAGCAGGGCTAGAGTAGCAGTGTGAGCACAGAGGTCAGTGGTCAAACCCTAACTCTGTGTAAGCCACTAACATAGGGCTGCATCTCATGTTGCCCTTTGGTTCTTAAAACTACCTAGTTATTTAGTGCCTTGCCGCAGACTGGCAGTAATTAATTGCAGTGAAGCCACGATACCTGTTACCTGGCTGAATACAGCAAGTGGCACATTATCCCCCCCGAAGGAGGGGTTGTTACTGCTATTGTTGTGCAGTAGATCTTCTAAATGCTGCACATTGGTGCTGCAGTAGACTGAAATGAATTAAACTCTAACTTCACCTTAGAGTTTAGCTTTAGATTATGACACCAGGCTATTTATGTGTGTTTTGAAATGTGTAAAAATGGCACATCCAACCGGCACCGCTCCCTCTTTATTGCCTAATTTTGACGTGCCGTAACGTGGTTATTCCTAAAACTAAGACGTGACATTATCTGCTGTAAAAGAAAACAACTTGAGTGCCATTTTCTGTATGGTGTGTGTATGTGTGCTCTTGTGGGCTGGTGGTGCTGACAGCCAGCAGATAGACTGTTTCAGATAAAGCAAAAATAATAAAGGACCTTGAACCTTTTCCGGGCTTTCTGGCTAATTAAGATGTTTCCTTTCCCCTTTTTTTTCCCCCTTCCTCAAGGGTATGAATACGTACTCTGTAACCCTCAGCGGCTCGCCGCCTTGGGGCTTCAGGCTGCAGGGTGGCAAGGACTTCAACATGCCTCTCACCGTGTCAAGGGTAAGAAAGCGCACATGGAATCAGCTTTTGTACTTTTTGTTTTGCATCTGTGCAGAGCAGCAGTTGAGGTGTTTGCACTCTCCTCGGAGATTTCCTCTAAGCTTCTATGAAAGCCTCGGCCTGTTAACAAGAGTCTGTTGGTTTTAAGTACCAGCTTGGCCACCTCAGTCATCAGGGCTTACCCTGCCTCAGCATATGCATGTTTTACATCTCTTTTTTTTTCTTTTTTCTTTATCAGGCACGGATAGTAAGATAGTAAAGGGTTTTGTCTACAGAACCATTTCCATACTATTCAAATGTTTTTATGGCTCATTTTGGTAACCCTTCCCGATCTGTTCTAACATGCAGTTTCTTTGCATGACACTCCTGCTGTGTGCTTTGTACTCTGTGTGTTCGCTGCCCTCCTCCTTCCCTGGACAAATTTTCAGATACTCTTTTATAAACTTCTGTTGCTATTGACGAGAGCGGCGACCACTTTCCAGCCCATATAAGTGCAGAGCTGCTTTGCCTGACAAACATACAGACTCGCACTTGCAGCTACGCACACAGACGCCTGCACATTGCAACACACATAAAATCATTCCAGCTTTCCTGCCAGCTATTGCTCACACAAATCTAGTTTTCTATTATGCGCTTGCTGGTTTTATTGCATTATGGCACTGCTATCCAAATAAACCAGGTGATCTGTAATTGTCAGTCTGACTTAACAGGTATTAATTCTGTAGTTATGTTCAATATTTGCAGTTTATTATTTCAGAGAAGATTAGGAGTTAATAGGTTTGGACCCTGGTGTAATTATTGAATTGAGCTTTCATTTCTTTGTCTTTGTAGGTGAAAAAAAAAAAAGATTGCATACTTAAAACAGACAAATACAGGTTCCCATGAACTGCAGGGTATTGTGAGTAGCATCACACTGAGGTGCATGTAGAGCTCATCTAATCCTGTGGCGAGGGCAAACGTTATCGTCAACCCTGTCAGTACTTGTCTTGTATTTGCTCTACTTACTGCCAGGCATTTCAGTCAGAAACACAATGTTCCCCTTGGATTTATGACAAGAAGCATTTTACTTGTGCCCATAAAAGACCGAACAGATGTAGAAACCTCTTTTGACGAACGGCCACAAACAAACTGAGACATAGCTGTTAACTTGGAGGAATTTCAGTCCAGGCAGACGGGGCGTACTGCAGGGTGAATATCAATGTGTGAGTCAGTAGATCTAGACGGCTATCAAACGAGTTCTCATCTAAATGTGTTGACTGATTACTGAAGTGGCGCAAGAGCCCAGTTTGTCTGCATTCCAGGTACATATCACACGCTGGTGATTTTTCCCTACTACAAAAACTTGTGTGATATTTTATAGTTTATGATTTATAGTATAGCAATATCCTTCCCTCAGGTTGGTCTAAGCTAATCGCTCCTAGCCGAGGAACAAAAAACCCTTAGTATCTCTAAGCTTGGAGCTGTAACGACTGGTCAGCGGCCAATATCTCTGTTTGCTCCAGCACTGGGCCTCGGGGTTCACAAGTTATAAAGATGTGACAGGTTTTCTCTCTTTTTTCTTTTCTTTTCACCTCTCGGGGACTGTTTGCTCTCATCGTGATTGTCATAAAAGTAGGGACAGCGAGTCCCACAGTCGCAGAGGTTGAAAACAGCCCAACAAGGGGCCGTAAACTCCAATGATCTACAGTATCCCTTAGTAACAGGAAGAGAAGTCAGACCTACACTTACTGGGTTCGCATTAGATGGATGTGGTGGGTGGTCTGTGTTTACCGGCGTGTAGCTGATGAGTATGTGAACCCAGACGGACGGTTAAGTGATTACAAAATGAAGAGAGTGTAGATTGATGGAACAAAAGGCTCTTAGAGTCTCTGTGAGGTGATGAGATTGCAACTCCCGAAGGATCCATGTGTCCAAGTGGTTTTTGTTTTGTTTTTTTGGTAAACACCAGATGACAGTTGCCATTGTTTGGGAGTGGATTTGTTGAAGCTGATGGTTATTTAGGTCACTCGAGCTTGGTCGTGCTGTGGCAGATAGTGATATTGTTTCTTGTACTGCACGTGGATATTCCAATTATCGATTTGTAAAGTTGCGGCTTTGTGACTTGCTACCTCCCCGTGTTTGGCGCTCGGTTTTGTTGGTTTCCATGCTAGACAAATGTGGTTGTTTCCTTCCTCTGTCTGCAGGCAGGGAAGGCTATGCTTTCTCAGCATTCCAGGGATTTTTCTCATATCCACTCTGTTGCTGCCAACAGACAATCCTGTTGTCTCCTTTCTGTGTCTAATACGTCTTGTACACTCACTTTTCTCATTCACGTGATGGACTCCTCCGGTCTCAAAGGGATAATTTCCCAGTGAGATCAGAGGAATGATGGCCATTACTTTTAAGTCACAGTGAAGGGAAAAGGAAGAATAACTTTTTCACCTTGGATTAATAGGCACACATTGATTTAATCCTGAAAGAAATATGTGCAGGGCTTTTATTTTGCTCAATCAATGTTCAGCTGATTTTCTTCTAGCTGTTCTAATTTTCTTCCTCGTGGTAATAGATGCTTAAGCATTTCTAGCTAGTAAAATCATTAGTTCGCGTGACCCTTCACCATATCGCTAAAGAATTATCTATAAAGCATGTCATTATAAGCCATAAAACCTGACAAGATTATGCTAGTCGCAGCCATGCCCAGTGGACTTTGCTTCACCCTCTCAACAACTAGGATCTGAGTGGTGCTTGGCTTTGGTTTCTTTTTTGGTTCAGACCTGATCGTTACTTGAGTTTAAGTGGGTTTTAAAGGGACAGCTAGTTCTTATTTCATATCCATTAACTTAAAGGACTTACAAGAGACGGCTGAAGCACCAAAGGCTCAGAGACCCCCACCTTTACTCCCAAGTATGAGTCAAACTCTAGAAAGACTGAGTCCTAAATTTTCCATAAAGCTGTTTGATGGTTCCTTTTATTACATCCTTCCTGCCTTGTAGTGTGTTCATTTTTTAATACTTTACAGCTCTAGACTGTAATGAAGAATTTCCAGTATAAATATGTAGTCTCTCCCCGTGACAACATCAGAATTATTTTCTCAGATGTACTAAATTTTTCCTAAGAATTCCCCTAAAGCTGCAGAGGATGTTGGTATTTAAGGAAACACTTGTCTATGATGAAAAATGCTAAACTTCACTTACTAGCATAATGTAATTCTTTGGCCATGGTGGTAGTGTGCAAAATTCTGTTTGCTTTTTGAATGTAAGATTGTGATGACCTTGAAGTAGGCCGTCTTCTTGACTCAACTTGTATCTCGCTCTGCATATTGACGCCAGTATCCTGTTTCAACAGGAAAGGCATGAAATATAGGAAGCAAGATGTTGTCGTAATGCAGTTTTGTCACTTTCCATGTCGAGTGCAACGCGCTCTGGCGCAGGCCCGCAACTCTTCCGAGGAGTTTGTCCATATATCTGACCCAGATCTCGTGCCAGTGTGATTCCAGAAACATTATGATAGCATAACCGAGGCTTCTGAGCGCCATCTGGTTTCTTTTGACAAACACATGCCATACCACTGAAATCAGATGTTCATAGGAAATTACTAATGATGTCATGTCAATAAGCAAGTAGAGAGATTTGTGACCGTCTCTCCACCACCAACACCCATCCACCACCACAGCTGGATGAGTCATCGGCTCTTCTATTCCGGTTTCTGTGTCCCAGTCTGACTAGTAGGCCATCTGTTGCTTTATCACTCGTATCTTCTTAAACACTCCTCTTTCTTTCTCACTCTCACACTCACACAAACTCCGGGAAGAGAGGCCTTGTTAGAGGGGTGATTTAATAATTCAGAGCTTGCTGATACATCGGCTGCAGGGGGCATTTCTCCTAGTTGGATAAATAAATGTCTTATGATGCAGTGTTTTTAAGGTGAGTTGGTACTAGGTGTTCAGTTGCAGTCATGTTGGGTGGGGGCAGGGGTGGGGGGGTGACCACATACTTACAGGTTTGAGTTTCCATTTCTCAGAGTGATATTTATGGCTTGGCATCAGCTGTGCTCTGTGTGTGTGTGTGTGTGTGTTTTTGAGTGAGTGATGTAAGGACAGACTGTCTCTTGGCCCCCAAATAGCCCTGGAAAGAATAAAAGTGAGCTGGTGCAGAGTTACACAGTCAGTATATCAGAAGTTGCAGATAAACTTGAGGGCATTATTAGTTTAACCAAAAAACAGAAAGGCTGAGAGCAAGTGTGGGGGGCCCTGGATCACCTATGAGGTTACCCAAGGAGACAACTTCAAAGTTGAATTCAAGAAGCTGCATTTTGAGAGGCTGGCGAATGCTTTGAAATTCAATAGCATTCCAAAACAGCTTTGCTGCTCTGCCAAAAAGCCTTGAAACTGGCTAAAAACTCTTCGGCTAGCCTCCCAGTTGCAAATACTTGAAGCTGCAGAAACGTCGAGTCATTGGCATGATCGCATTTGCACAAAATCACGTGTAACACGTAGAGCGTAAATAAACGTATACGATAAGAGCTGGCCTTGTCTCGCAGCCGTCTTTGTTCCGCACCCGGGCTGTTGTGGGGAACAGTGGGGTGCGTTTCAAGAACAAGAACATGTTTTCTACTGACGTTAACTGTATTGACAAACTGCTGCAAAGTGAACGAGGTGGGTGTAGGGTTTCTGTCTGCCCCCCACCAACCGAAGGTCTGAGCACAGCAACTTTAACTGCTGCCCTCTCAAGTAAGGGAGCAGCTGCACTCTGAACCTGAGCCAGAAGCACAGGTGTCCGTGTCCATCAATAACCAACTCTCTCTCACACACACATATTCACCTAATGCAGTCCACAGCGTTAGAACTTTATCTACATCATCTTTTTAAAAGCAAAACCAGTTCGTGAGGAGCACCATGACCCTCCCGAACAATGTCATTGGTTCTTTTTATTCCTGCTAGAACAGCGGTCCCCAACCTTTTTTGCACCACGGACCGGTTTATGTCCGACCATATTTTCACAGACCGGCCTTTAAGGTGTCGTGGATAAATACAACAAAATAAAACCAGTACCGGTACCAAAAAAAGGAAGATTTATTCATAACACATGGGAAAAGACCCAGGGAAACAGAGTTAACGATAAAAACGATTAAAAAAATAACGATAAAATCCCTGAAAACCATAAAGCCTCAACTCTTGCGGCCCAGTACCAAACGACTCCGGTCCGTGGCCCAGGGGTTGGGGACCGCTGTCCTAGAACACCTGCAGGCAGTTTTGTAACACTATGACTAAAGTCAGTAATATATTTTACCCGATAAAACATTCTTCACATCAGCATGGTGAATCGAAGTACTCTTGTTTTATTTCCTCCTATAAAATGGAGGAAATGTATTATGTGGCGACACTATAAAAAGGCTCTAATTAGAGAAAAATTATGGACTTGTTAATGGAAGTCGGTCCACCCATTCCTGGGATACGCGAGCCTCGTCTAGTCAAGGCACAGTCGTCCTGCATCGCTGACAATTGTTGGAGATAAAAACAAAACAAAAATGAATCTATTTGAGAGGGGAAATGGCCAACTGACCCTAAACTCTGACCATCATATGAATTCTCTTGGAAATTACCACTAAGTGAGCTTCATGATAATCACACGACTGTAATAGCGTGGGTAAAAATCCCCGACCTTAGACTTCTAGGGTTAAAGAAGATGGCCATTTATTGCATTGTAGTTGTTGGTTGGGGAAAGCTGCTGGCTTTTCCGTTGTATGGGCTTCCTTAATTTCTTAATGTACCCCTTGTTAGGAACTTCGTTGTTAAAAGCTTCCAAAATTCCTGGGGTTTTCTGTCCATATTCTATGGTTCGTGGGTATTTACTGTGTTGGTTAACATTTTAAAACCCCTTTTGATTTAAGGGAGATTAAAGATACAGCTCCCAAGTGGCTTTGCCAGCTTTTCTGTGGCCAAAAACTAAAAGGACATGCTGTTTAACAGTAATCAAATAATTGTTTTGCTCTGGCACAGCGACGAGATGCTGGAGTTTTACTACGCAGTGTAGCAGGGAAGCAGGACTGCAGCTCTCTGTAGTGAACCTCCATGGCATTATGCCAGGATGTGGCCCTTTTTTCCGAACACGTCACATGTCACAGTTGTTTTTTCCCTAATGTAAGCTGTTAAAGGCCTTTTGAAGTTCTTTCTAAACTAAGAAAAATCTTTCTTAACCCCTCTAATTGCCTTTGATTTTCACTCACTGGAAGCAATTAAAGTGATGCTTGAACTTGGCTGTAAAATAAGCGTAACTCGGATTGCCCCTTAGGAATGCATGTCTTCCTATTTTTAGCTTTGCCGTGTTTTGATGCCAGACTGGCTTTAACTTGCGTTGTCTTTGTGGGGCGCAGTCATTTTTCAGCCTTAACCGTCATCTGTCTATGATGCATATTTACACCCCACCCCCACCGACATCGCTGTTTATGTTTAAAGCGTGCAATCAAAGCGGCGAGTGCGACAGCTTAGCCAAACATGCCAGAAAGCTATTGATTGCACCACTCCTCTGAGCATTTCATGAGCTAACATTTACAGGGATCCATGACATCAGAGAGAAATCCTTGTGGGGCCTCTTTTTTTCTTTTTTCTTTTTTTTTCTTTGTTACAAATCTTGGCAATCCCTCACTTATCTAACGCTGAACACTTGGCTCTTCATTTATTTAGAATATGACACGTCTTTCCACTGGAAAAGCTGACTAAGCCTTTACTGAACACGGCGGGTCATCTCTCTTCTGTAGAGGTGTTGCCAGACGCGCCGTGCACATGTAGAATACCATTACTGCCTCTCTAAACTCTGTCAAGTTTTTCCTGTTGTAACAGGACCATATCCTTGACTCAAGCTCTGACTCAATATGCCGGCGTTCTGTGTGACAGCCCGAGAGGATGATGTCATACTCCTGTCAGTAAGTGATTTACCTGCCTGCGTGGGAAAAGGTAGATGGTTCTTTCCAGTAAATGATGTGACTATTGGTAACACACGGTCCTTGTCTGCAGCTATCAAGTATGTCTCTGGCAGTCTGCGGTAAATCATAAGCTGCTGACTGATAACGTCATGATGACCCATAATGCCTGTCTCTGCTGGTGAAATGGACCCAGAAGCGCAGACTCTGTGAGCGGATCATCGAGTTTTAATGATCAACACAGCAAAATCAGTTTTGGCTCAGGAGGTGTAGGGGGTTGTCACTAATCACAAAGTTGAAGGTTGGATTCTTGGGTTTTTCTGAGCTGCTTGTTGAGATGTCCTGGGGCAAGATACTGAACACCAAATTGCCCCCAATGCGTCAGTATGTGTGAGATGCATAAAACGCTGTCTAAGTCTGTGTGTGTGTCTGAATGTGGCTCACGACATAAAGCGTTCAGCGTTAAGGCTAGAAGGTGGCACACTAAAGCAGCCTATTAATGACTTTTTGTGTTTAGGTTGTTATTTTACTTTGACATGTGTGAAGGGGGGCTGAGCTGAACATGGAAGTCACACAGCTCGATCTTTAAAGGGGATTTATTAAGCTTTCTTTGACATTATCTCTAAAAGCAAACTTAAAATGCTCTCTAAAGCAGGGGTGTCAAACATAAGGCATGGGGGCCAGAATAGGCCCAGCAAAGACTTCAATGTGGCCCACTAGATGGTCCCTGTAAAATCTGAAGGAGGGCTTTTCCCACTGAGAAAAAGCTCCCCTGTTTTAAATGAAAGGTTTTTTCCTTCTTCAGTAATTTTACACATTTATTTGTTACAGTTTAAGCCCAGAGAGTCATGCTCTCTGTGATTTCTGTCATTTATTACAGCAGCGTTTCTTTGTTATGTAGAAAAACTGAGACGCACTGTTTTAAACGGCACTTCTGTTTCTCGCATTAACCCTTTGTTTACCACGGGCCCACTTACGGTCCCATTTTACAAGCACCTTTAAATGATTGTAACTCCATTAACGTTTGTGCTTGATGGGAAACTCAAATGGTTTCAGAAGAAAGAGAAGGCGATCTTTACAGGGATATTTGGTGTGTCATGGTAGCACAAGGCATTCACAAGGTACTGCTGTCTGAACACGGACAGAAACAGTCCTCTCTGCCTTGATGTTACCATGTGCGCTTCACATTACCATAGCTGTCTAACCTCCTGTCTGAATTTGTTTCTTTTCCTCCAGCTGACGCCGGGCGGAAAGGCAGCTCAGGCTGCCATCGATGTTGGAGACTGGGTGGTGGCGATCGGTGACGCCAACGCAGAGGAGATGACCCACGTGGAGGCACAAAACAAGATCAGAGAAGCGTCAGGCTCCCTCACCCTCGCCCTCAGCAGGTTAGCCGTCCGACATCGCGCGATGTAACGAAATGATACGCTTATCTCATTCAAACAGAAGCACAAATCCCCACAAAACAAATGCCCGATTTCATCCTTACTTTGACAAAATAGGACGACATACTTTGAGTGAAACCTGATCCAACGTGACGGATTTTAAATTGGTTTTTAGATTCGGGCACGGCTCAAATAAAGCAAAGTAAATATTTATTGGCAGAAAGGTGTTATTAATGAGGAGTTAACAGGATATATATATATTTCATTAGCATTGAACAAAAAAGACCTTCAGGCACATTTTATAAAGGATTTGATCCTTTTTTTTTTTTTCTTTCTTCTCAGCAACATTGAATTTGGGCATTTTTTGCACACGTGTATTCAATTCAAATGCTATGACATTTCTGCTGCACTTGGATTTACAGAATTTGGTGGTGTGGAAACCGTATTCAGGTCCTCAATTCGAAGCTTTTTTTATTTTATTTTTTGAAATAAACGGCCTCATTTCCAGCCTCATTCATAAGAGACTTCAGCCTTGAAACACCCTATTAAAGTATGATGGCCTTTTGCTTGCAGGCAGTTTAAAAGACTAACTTTGTGCCTGTCGGTCTGAAATTAAACTTGATACAAATGAATTATTCACTGCATGTATTTTAATAGTAATGCTAGGTGCGCCATTCTCACTTATTAAAGCAGAGAATGTCGTGGATTTGGCAGAGGTACAGCCTGTCTGAATCCATCCTAGCTTACTTCTAACAGTAATATTCTGTCCTTCACATCATAAAGAAGGAAACGCAGCGATGAGTGCGCCGCACTTTGCAGCAGATATGCTCGCAACTGCTGTCGGGTGGATGTACCGGCCTTTGTTCTGTTCAAATACACCATCTTCAGAGGAACCTTGGGCACCATACTTGCCTCAGTTCCATAATGAAATTAGAGAAACTTTTATTTTTTCCAGATACAACACTTTGTTGTTAAATGTGCGCCAGGAAAATCTTTTTATTTTGCTTCAGTAATTTTTAATTAGCGCTGCATAACCTTCTATAGGCAGCACTTATACCTGCTCACATACTTCCTGCCAGAAATACTTGACAAAGTCTCTCCATAGAGTCAAAGCCAGAATGTTTCATCAAGAGCTTAATTATAAGAGAGCGAGGGGAAGGTGGGGGGGAAAAAATCCCTCTCGATGAAGGATCAAACGTAATCATTCAAGGACCTAAAACCTTCAGAAAATGAGAAGTATTGACTTGTTAAGTAACAAAGATGGGCCGGCTGCTGTCATGGGACTCATTTTGATTTTGTGATCCTCATAAGTAAGATGAAAATGGCTGTGTTAACGTCTTCGCTTTATTGTTCCTACCAAGAGACTCGACTCTTTAATTCTTACAAATCTTCTTTGTGCGTTTAGTTGAATCCGAGCAGCCGCAGGTCATTTATCAGGCTGCTCAGAAGGCAGAGCCATTACGTGAATGAATAGAAGGGAGATTTGGAGATATGTTTACGGCATATTGTTTCAAATATTCCGGGTTTTCTTGCATTTGTACAACATAATAGATTTGGGTACTTGGCTTTCCCACTCTTGTTTCCCTTTTTTATTATGTTGATCAGCGTGTTGCTGGACATTAACCTGTATTTCTAAGCATTTTAAGCTCTTTCCTTAATTGGACAACCAATTAAAACAGGGTATAATGTCCAGGAATAAGATTTGCTACATCCTGTTGATGTGTTATCAGATCAGTCTCATCATTCATTAAATTATAGTGTACATTACGTTCTCCTGGCACTTTATTTGGTATACTCTGGTCGTACTGGGTTGGGCCCTCTTTTGCTTTTAGATATGCCTTGAACAATAGTTCATGGTTCAACAAGGTGCTGGACACATTCCTTAGATTTTGCTCCATATTGACATGATGCCATCACACAGTTTCTGGAATAGTTTTTTTTTGGCTGCACATTCACGATGTCTACACTGCTGCTCACTGGATATTTTCTCTTTCTGCTTTCAAAGTCACTTAAATCACCTTTCTCCTCCGTTTTGGTGCTTGGTTTTAACTCCAACAGGTCTTTTTGACCAAATGTACCAAGTTGTTGTCGTCTGATTGGCTAATTAGATATTTTCATTATGGTGCGGTTGAACAGGTGTACCTAATGAAGTGGCCTGTGAATGTAAGCGGTATTGCACTCTGGATATGGATGTCAAAATATAACGTTGCTTTGTATTTGAAAAATATCTGTTTAATTAAAAATGTGGCTTCGCAGGAAATGGTGTAATATTTCGACAGAACAGCAACAGGTCAGCGTGTTTACTTTTCTTGCACTCTGTGGTTTTTCCTCCTCCATTTCTCGTCTCCTTGTGGAGTCCGGCTTTTGTAAACATTTCACATTCTTCTTCCCGTGACTCCCCAGTCTCCTCTCTTCATCTCACCCCGTCCGATTGTTATTATATTGTAAGACAAGCAAATATTGTTTTCCTGAAACACTTTTCAGAGAGGAGCTATTGTCAGTCTTATTTATTCGTATCTTGGCTGCCATCCACGGTTTCTTTTTATGCCCAGAGAGGAGGACAGCTGCGCGATGATGAGATACGGTCTATTGTTTGGTTTGGCGTCTCATTTTGTACGACACCAATGATCATCTTGTCTAATAGAAAAGGTTTTAGCTTTATCCTGAGCCTTTTTATGGGGACTGGAATCCTCCAAAAAATATGTCGAGTAGAGTTTCACCTTCACAGGAAAAACATCCCACAGCATCCACGGGGACACATTAGACTCATATTTTAGCCAGCCACTGGACTGGAGGCTTGTGTTTGGAGAATGCTGGTGAAGTGCGCAAAGTTGATTTGGTATCATGGGAGTTTTTTGTTATTTCTAACTTGATCTAAGATCAGCTTGAAAGCTAAACGTGCATCAGCTAAGATAAGTGACCCATGAAATGAAGTGGGAAATGATCTCATACACCGTGCGTATTCGGTTTCAGCACAAGCAAACTGATTTCTTCCAAAAACACAGATGAAATCATCTCCATATTTGTTCATTTTAGTCCACCTTGCCAAATTAAACGCGGTAACAGAAGGGTCATGGCACGAATTCCCCGTGTCCCAGATTTCAAATGTGTCTCATTAACTTGTCAGCCTAGCTAAGGTGAGCTCAAGCACTGTGTCACATCGATTTGTCTTCCAGAAATGTGACATGAGCAGACATGTCAGTATGCCTTCCCCTCGCTGCCTTGTCTATCTGCTCAGCCCTGTTGTCATTCTGTCTCAAACACTGCTCTATTAGCGGCTGAGCAGGCAACAGCATGAGCGGTTATTATTTTCTGTGTCACAGGAAGCGCGGCCCATTGTTTTTGTTGGTGATTATAGCCTCAAACAATGAGTAACTGCAGGGTGGATTCATTCTGGCTTAACCCTATTTGAGCTTTGTGCAGCGTATAAGCGCTGGTCAGAGGGTGGTGGTGATTTATGTTCAATTATTTCAGGAGGAAACAGAAGTGTAAAGCCGGCCGCCTCCATGTTTAATGCGTAAAGATATATTCTAATAAACGTGTGCTCTGTCGGGGGCGGGGGACACCGCAGGGATGTTAATCCTGGGAGAAGCTTTAAGACCTGAACAGGACTGATTGACCCGCTGTATTCTCGGCTCTCTTAATAAGTTTATTAAAATGAAAATCCTTTTTTTTTTTTTTTTCTTTCTTTTCAAAGTACAGCACACAAACTAAAAAATTTAACAAATTTTTCCAAGTTACCTCTTACGATAATGTGAAGTAAAACTAGTGGAAATATAATGAATAATGAGCACATTTTTTCTGACGTGTTTATTTTTTTCCCCTCTTTCTCTTTAGACCCTCCAAAGCGGGTGGAGACCAGAAGGTAAGCCTCCATTTATCTGACTCGCCGAGCTCACCTCAGCGTGGACACTCTGGATGGTTTGGCATGGTGTGCTGTGACAGTTAAATTCAAACTTAATTGTTCCTCACAGTTTTTCGTGTCACTTTGTGTTCTTCAATTTCATCTGAATCACCTGCCTTGTCAAGCTCTCACAGAGTCCATGCACTCTGCATTAGCCAAGCATCAGCAGGTTGCAAAATTAGCAGTTTGCCGGGCAGTTGTCGCTGATGCATTTTTGCATTTCCCGCACAGTCCCTGATACCAGATAAATACTGACGCTTTAAGTCTGTGGAGTCGCCCGGCCAGCTGATCAAACTGAACGGTTTTTAGAAAAGCAGCCGGCACATGACACAAACGCAGAGTCACTGTTCTATTTTAATAGTTGTTTATTTTCTTGCTGCAGTCCATGCACAATACTCAAGGAGGAAATCTCATTAGTGAGACACGTCAGTTATAGACGACAGTTTGAGCATTTTCATTTTAGCAGCAGTAGCAGATTACATTGGCCAGCAATTGGCCGCCTGCCAACACAAATAAAATCTGTGTTCACACTTCTTAAGCATTTTTTTTCCATGTGTAGAGAAAAGCCCGGAGGCTTTTGACAGAGCCGCCGTCGCAGTACAGAGTAATCTTTTTGCTATAATGAAATATTGGGACTGCGCTGGAAAAGCTTGGGCTTGTGCGGCGGCAGATGGAGTTCTGTGCGTGTCACAAACGTCTAACTGCATGTCGTGCACTGTGCTGCATTGTCTCCTTCTCCCACACCCTCACAGGACTCGCTCGCTACAGCTTCTGTTCCGCCAAAGTACTCCTTTGCCCCGAGCACGACCATTAACAAGATGGCGAGGCCATTTGCAGCAGGTGGTGCTAGTGCCAACTCAGGACCTGCTATTAAACCTGTGGCCTACTCTGCTAAACTCAACACCCCGCGCTCACAGGGGCATGCCAGTACACCCCAGCCACAGAATGGGTAGGTGGATGAATAAACGCTATTACCATTGGAACCGCAACGTGACTAATGTGGTTTTAATGGCATTTTTCTGACGTCTCATTATTCTTGTTTTAAACTTAAAAAGAAAATAATGCCTTTAGGAATTTAAAGAATTTAGTCCAATCAGTGCTGCGGTGTGGTGCCAAAGTGAAGTCACAGATTTTTTTACATTTTATTTTAGGGCACGTTAGAGAAAAGAGAGCAGGGCAAATGCAAGCTGACTCGCTGTGGAAATCCAATTATTAACGGTGCCAATAATTTGTCTAAACTTAGGCTAATGCTAAACACACCAGCAGTAAGAGTTGCTGTTGTAGATTGTGTGCTGATTAAGTCTGGTGGTGTTTGTATAGCAGGAAATGTTTAGCTGAAATATGCAGTTCCAGCTGTGGATGAAAGACAGCTGCAGTGAAATCTATCAAGATGACAGAGAAGTATTGGGATTGGTTATATGTGCCAATAATCAGTCACAGTTTTACAGCCATGTTAAACTCTGTGTTCTTTGGACACTGTAGATGTTGTCATGAGTTTTTTTTCTTTTTCTGCATTGTTTAATCTTTGTTCCCATCATCCTCATTTTGTGTGTTTAACTTAATCTGTTTACTCAGTCACTTTCCTTTTTACGTCTTCTCTAACCTTAGGACGGGGGAAAAAAAAGAACATCATGATTTAAATCTTTAAGATTTATACAAAGACTTTGTTTAAGGCTGGATTCGAGTATATATTAGAATGAGTAAGCGACAGTGGAGGTGAGTCTTTAGGAAATGATTGCAAGTCGGTGTAATGTGTGGGAGAGAAAAGCACTGATGTTGTTTTTAATAGTGGGAACTGAAAAGAAGATGCGAAATATTTCTTGCAAAATCATTTCTTTCTTATAACAGATTTTCCATTTCAGCAGATGGGTTATTGATCGAGCGCGATTATTACTCGTCTCTTGCATCTACAGTTAGCAGAATGAAATATGTAATGTTTGACAGATGCAGTGTGGCGCTTGACATTATGATTCTGATGCACAGATCTCACACGCTAATGCTGATCGAGCTGTCACCGAGTCCTGCTCAAGGACACTTCGGTACGTGGAATAGCCGGGGAATGAACGCCGGCCTCTGCATTTACGGGATAATCTGCTGTACCGCCTGAGACGCAGATTCCCAGAAACAATTTGATGTAGTTTGCTGTAAAAGTGAGCCTTCGACCTTGAAATGTTCATTGCGCTTTTTTTTTTTTTCCTTTAACCCGCTGAGTTTTTAATATTTTTTTCCAAGTATTCCTGCAAGAAATGTGTTTTAAATGATCCGGAAAGTATAAGTTTGGCATGAAATGGTCTGTAAGGATAGGCCGGTCCAGTTCCTTTTAATTTGGGTCATGGCAGCGCTCTGTCTCCAGCCGCTGGTGAGATGTGGTCTGTTGCTGTATTTAGCCCCATACATTCTGTTGGTTTCCCAAGCTTTTCCTGCTCTGCTTTTCTTCTTCTTTGTAAAATCAACTTTTCTTGTTACTCTGCAACGCTAATTCCTCTTGTCATGTTTGAAAAGAGTTGAGCGTAATCAAAACCATCAGGTTAATCTGGTGAGGACGTCATCTATTCTTTGATTCTCCACAGTTAATAGTTGGATCCAAAAAGCTGTCTAAGCCCGACGTGTTAGAACAGGGGTAGCGTTGTGTTGTTTGGACAGAGTTACCAGTAATACGTCACTGCTGTAGCATTTATGATGAGCAGATCCCTCTTGTGCTCCTGTTGCCCGTGAATGAAGCCCGATTAGGTTTAATTTTCCTTTCAAAAGGCTACAGCCGTGTACGTACCTCTGAGGCGTTTGTGTACGGGGATGAGAGGAGCAGGAAAGCAAATGTTTTGTGCCAGTCTGCTGAGTCCTTTTGGGTCAGGGTGACAATGGATGATTTGACAGTCAAACAATGCCGTCCTTCTTCCTCCTCTCACAGAGCCTGCTGACAATAGCAGCATGTCTCTACACACCTCTCGCATGGTTTCTGCATTTTGCAATGTTTTTGATCGTCTGTTGTGTGAAACCTTTGTCATGTATAGACGTGCTCAGTTTCTCCTCCCCCTGAAATCTTAACCCTAACCTTTTCCCCACTCTTTTCTTCTTTTAACTCCACAGATGGAAGCTCATTACAAGTTAGTATGTTTCTTTTTTTGTTTTCATTTGCATTCAAGTGTGTGTATATATACACTTTTATAAATTGGCATTCACACTTGGTCTCATGACAAAGCTGTGCACAGCCTGATAGTAGTTCGGTTGCATGTCTTTACTGGGTGTGACTTCACAAAACTATTGTATTAGAATAACTTAATTTAAAAGAAGAATGCGAGACTAATATTGTGCACATTTTTAATTAGCCTTAAAGTCAGAGACCCCAAAAAGGAGAATGAAGTTGCTGTTTATCTCCTACTTCACAGTTAAACTATTTCTTATTAGATTGCAGTCTGTGCAAAATAAGAAATATTGTCAAATGTCGCCTTCCATCTTCTCGTTCCTATGGTAACTTCACGAGCCTAGTGTTTACGTGCTCTTTGGTCTAATCCGCAGGGGTGAAGCAACTTACTATGATGATATCTACCAACAGTCCAAGTAAGGGGCAGCTGCATGGTGGCTGTGCGGTCGGCTTTGTAGGCTAATCTGGCCAAGTCGTTTATGTAAAAGAGAGAAAATGCTGATGCCCTTTTGTTAGACTGAGTGACTGTGTTTACAGAGTGAGGATGGCACTTCATTAATGACTGTGTCTTTTGATATTTCTCTCGCTTGTTTACGAACGCATGCTGCAGTTGACCTACAGCTGTGCTTAAAATGAGCAGCTTAAAAAGCATTTCATTTGAGTGATTAAGTTGTTTATGAAAAATAAATGCCTCTCCTTTTAGCTTTTTTCTTTTTTTCCCTCTTCACATAAAGCCATGTACTGAAGTGAAGTGGCTTTTCTTGCGCTGATTCTAATGACAGTTATGAGTATCTTCCGTTTACGAGCCTCTGCCGTGTCCTCATGAGAAATCTTAGTAATGGGTGTCCATTAGTGCTGTTATTGCGTGACTCTGATACTAAGCGTTCCTCCATGCGTTTGTGTGAGTGGGTAGTCCCTGGATGTGATTGTGTTAACCACACCTGCTGTGTGCTCCTGCTGCTGCTGTTGGGTGTGTGTGCGCGGCAGGCACGGCCTCAGGGTGGAGAGCATCCCCTGTTTTATTCCCAACGACCGCAGCAAGAAGAGGCTGATTGAGGACACTGAGGACTGGCAGCCCCGCACTGGCACCACCCAGTCTCGTTCCTTCCGCATCCTGGCTCAGCTCACAGGCACCGACTTCAGTAAGTCAGGGCCTAAGACAGAAATGATGGACTGTTACAGCAGAGAGTAATGGGTTTGAGGGGTGGGCCTCTCTGTTAGTCAAGATAAGGTGTAGGATGGGGGGGGGGCTGTTGCTAAACGGTTGATGTGATTTGATCTCTGGGACTGAGTGTGACAGCAAGAATGAGTGACACAGAAAAGGTGGATGAGGGGTTTCTTCATTTTTCAGCTGAAGAGAGGTGGCTGGTGTTTTCACTGACATGTTTTCATGTTTTGTTTTTTTTTTTCTACCCTGACTGTAACCAGTCTGACAAAGGAAGAAACTGCATAGCTAAATATAAGGAATATCATTACTTATTCTGAGGTGTGTCAACATTTGTATTAGTGAGGCATTCTGATGTGTGTCTCTCCTGGATCTCTCAGTGCAGGACCCAGATGATGAAAACATGAAGAGGTCCAGGTAAACGGATTGTCATTAATGTGACCGGTCACGTGTTTGTGTTTGTACACTTGCATATGTGGAAGCCTCAGCTTGGCAGTTACTTTGAAAAAAGAAAAGGAACAAAAAAACCTCTCCCTCAGTGTAGTTTAAAT